GTTAAAATAACTTCTCAACCATTTTATAAAGTATCAATTGACACAACATCGAAAGTTATTCGATAGCCTTGGAATGTGTTGTCGATTGCACGATGATTGTAAATCTCAACCGGCTGTCAATTCGGTCGCTCTATGGCACAACAGTACGAGTATGCTGCCTGGGTCTATATAAATCTCGTCGGCTGACACCTACGACGACATTGCCCAATCCGTAAGAACTTATCAGCAGAAGTTAGCAAGTCGTGTGGAGTCCCCCAGAGCCCCATCGAAATTCCATAATTGCCTTCAATTGAAAGTACAAGTAAAATTACAAAATCAGCTCGTGAACTGTATTAGAGAATTTATATGCGCCTACAAATCAGATTATTTGACTCTACAATCTGGAAATACCCGTTAGTAGAAGCTATATAGTATACTCGTATGTACGTACAAAGCCCAATGAGCCAGACAGAATGCTAGTGAGCGAGTCGGAGATAAGCACAGTCGGAACAGAGCCACAAATTGAATCTAATCGTGCGACTATCTACGTGTAATTACAATTAACGTGACTGTGGATGGGGGAGAGAGTACGAGTACTAGAAGGGGGCGAGAGAACAAGAGAGAAAGAGACCCAACTAACGAGCGCATGGGAAGATAATGAAATATTTTTTGTACAATGTGCATGGAACGTGTGGGTTGATTTCAACTCTTGGTATCTGGACTTGTGGGGTTCGGATTGTGATAAGACCCGGGGACGTCTGTTGTCTGAGTGATGGGCTGGCAGGTTCATGTGTGCGATTGTGTGGCAGGTGGGGTTGGAGCTGGGGCATGTGCCTTTAGTTTGTGGCAGCAGCACCCAACACCACCAACACCAACGCCAACACCAACAGTTGCCCTCTGTGGTAATCAATCATTGTCAATGCTGCTGTCAATGCGGTTTGGACGTTCAACGTTTTCCATGGAATATCGAGGGTGGCAGGCAAAAACTTAAATTACTTGTAGGCATTTGGATGGGCAAAAAGATTGAGCTGTGTTGTGTTGGTGGGGGTGGGGGTAAATGAGGAAATTGGTAGCCTTGCTCAAACATTTGCCATTGTTACAAAAGTATATAAAAAGCCGAGCCGAGCCGTGCGAGCAAATAAATCCAAACGGAAAATAGGCCAACATAAAAACTAATAAAAATCAAAATGAAATGAAATTAAATAAAATCGCTGCAACAACAGAATGGCAACACAATAATAAAGCACAGCAATTACAACAACAACAACAACAACACGAGTGTGCGATAAAAAACTCAAGCGTCGAAGTAGAAGTAAAGAATGAAGAAGAAGACGGAGGCGAAGGCGAAGCATTAAAGCAGCAAACAAAAGGCGAACGATGGCACGACCGTCAAGCCATGGGAGTAGGACTAAGATAAATTTCTAAAGCAGACACAATGAAAGTTACAACAGCAACAACGTAGCGTACTGGAAAAAAAAAAACACGGACACACACACACACACACACAGCGAGGAAAAGTCAAAGGCAAAGGCAAACGCAAGCGCAAAGGCAAAAGGAAAGCGAAAAAAGCGGAAGGAAATGCCATTATGACGTAAATGTGCTAAAATAAAACAACATGGCGGACGACAACGACAACGAAGCGTTGGGAGCGTGGCGAAAGCAAACCATCCTGTGCTCCAGTGTATTTATGTGTGTGTGTGTGTGTGTGCGTTGGGGGCTAATGTCAAAGTCAATCTTAGGAAAAACGCGTGGCGCATAAACATACAAGAAAGTAGAAGCAAAGCAACGTCAAACCAACCCCCATTGGGGGCAGCACCAGCACCCCACATGCCTTACCCTAGTCACACACACACACACACAGAGACACACACACACGCACACACACACACCAAATACACGAGCGTTTGGCACTGACTCGATTTTTCTTCTGGCGCGCAGGGTAAGAAAAATTGCCAAATTAAAGTAAAAGAAAAACAATTTTCTCTCTTTTTTTTTGTTATTTTTATGTGACTTGGGCAGAAAGTTGGTCGGACCTTCCGACAAAAGGGTAAACTCTTTGGAGACTCTACAACGAAAGAAAAATTGTTTAAAATGCAAACTGAAAAGTGCCAATGAGTGGAAAATGGGCAAACGTAGACAGGACTCAGCAAGTTTTGGAATTTCATGTGATTTGTCTGGCACAACAAGCCCAACAAGGAGAACATGCCACAACAAAAGTTGCAACAGCAACATCAGAGTATACAGCAGCATCATCAACAAGAGCATAAACAACAACAGCAGCAGCAACAACAACAACAGCCACAACCACTAAAGAGAGCTCTATGTCTACTTTTTATCATCACTTTGCCGCAGGATTTTCCCTTTTGCTCTGCCGACGGCCGACGGCAACGGCAGCAGCTAAATCGCCGTCGACGTCAGCTTCGACAGCGACGGCAACAGCGACGCCGGCATTGCACAGCCAACACTTTGGGGGTGGTTGGATGAAATGTGGAAATTGTTGAAAGCGTAAAACCAGCCTGCGCCTGCATCGTTATGTACGCTACATACACTTTGAGAAAATAAGTTATTAACAAGCCTAAATTAAACGTAATCTTAAATGCAAATCTTAATTGTGGAACACCACTCGAAATAAAATAACTAAAAAAATAATAACAATTTTTATTGTTGATTTAATCATTAAACTATAATTATAACTTTCCATTTTAGTTTCTTCAAATTTTGTTTTTATTGATAAAACTTAAGCTTCTTGGCAGCACTCTCAAGTCGAAGATATCTATATTCAGAAATAAACTACAAGTATATACATGAATTATAAATTTAAGTAAAGAGCTTCTAAAATAGCTTAACCCATTTGGTTTTACGGCAGTTTGTAAGAACAATTGGGAAAGCAAGTATTTCTCTTATCTCGGTGTCATTAGTTTGTGTCATCATAGCAAACTCCTGAAGGTACTCTCTTATAGCACCGTAAATTCAACATTAAAAGTATTTAAACAATTAATACAGGATACTACAACTTTTAAGAGCTGTAGTTCCCATTTTCAAATGCGTTTAAATTAAGCGAAATCGAAATTTGGTGCATTTTGTCAATTCCGAAGTACGATTGAATTATATGTTTTAAATCATCATAAGAGACTTTTCAAATCGTTTTTTCAATATAGAAAACATAGATCTGATGTTCATTAAAGCTTGGGAAAAGATTTCTTAATAGGTAACAAAAATGATTCCAGCAGTTACTTTTTATTCGAACATAAACATAAATCTGTGCATCTTTGTAGATTTTAAGAAATGTTCTCACTAAAAGTTTCTGCTAAAACATAATTTTATCCAAGAATGTTTTTATGGTAGATTTATTATTTTTTCGAAAATACACTTAAATCTTTACATCTTAGTAGATTTCAAGTAATTTTGCAATTGAATGATTTTTTGCCAAGAATGTGTATCATCAAAATATTTTAAACCAATTAGAAAGAAAAGATATTTCGAAACTTAAAAATAATGAATTGTGCTTATAAAAACACCATTCATTCTTCAAAATTTCTCAGAAACATATATTTTGTAGGCCACTGAATAATTATTATTTAGACTACTTCCTGACATATGATGGCTTTTAACTCTTTTCTTACAGCGGTGGCTTATGAACAGCAATTGTAATTCATTTTCTTCAGTGCAGTCCGTTCTTTGTGCGGGTCGTCGACTTCAATGTTGCCGTCGCCGCTGAGCAGCGGCAACAGACGATGCCGCCGACAAGGACATTGGGGGTGGTTGGTTGAAGGTGCGGCGACAACGGCGCAGAGTTTGTTTTTACTTCATGTCCTTGCTTCGCTTTTGCAGGCATTTTCAAATTGTGTGTTCGCTCAGCTTTTATATTGTTGTTGTGTTTTTTTTTGTTGTTTTTTTGGGAAAAACTGAGCAATATTACAGCAACAATTTTGCTTCCTACTCATGAAAAAGGGAAAATTTGAACTTGGCTGATGTATGTCCGACAGGGCCAAACGACGAACCAAGCGATGCGGCCAACCAATGCGGCATGTAGCAACAGCCACTAAGGAAGAAATGGCAGACGACCGATATGGCAATGATGGGAGGGTTGGGAGGATTCACCAATGCCCAACAACAACGAATTTCACTCGTCCTGGTGAAAGTTGCCCTTGAATGGAGTTGGATTATGCCCACAAGGATGGCTGTCGCTTCGATCGAATTTTGTGCCCCACGCAGCAATTGAAAGCAAATTGAAGTCGATAAACAGATGCAGACAACGGAAGCCAAATACAAGATGATGACTGTGTACTGAACCGGGTTTTGGAAGATAATACATGGAAGCATTGAATATTGGTTGCCTTTATCAGCTCTAAATGGAGCAAATAGCCATTTCTATTAATAAGAAAGCTCTGACATGTTATATTTGTAATTACATCTCACTTTTTACTTTTATTGATTTACAAAAAAAAATATGAATTCACTTTTCACATTTGAACAAAGTAAATAAATTACTCACTTAGCAAGACTCAAAGAAGTTCCATGTTTAATGTCGACAAATGTTCTAAAGACCTATTGTTCTTTATATACTCGTTTAATATATTGAATATAAATAGCGATCAATTTAGAATTATATTCGTGGTTCATCGCCAGTTATAGAACCGAAATAAAAGTCCCTGATATTTCTGTACTTGTATACAAATATTTCATTTGAAATTAGGCTATTGTATGAATTTCATATTCGTGGGAAACAACGATAAATAAAAAGGCAGAGCAACCATCTTATAGGTTTTTTTTTTGCTTGGAACTTTGTTATAATAATTTTATTTAGGAAGCCGGAGATATAAATAAATAAATTTCACTTCCCACACCAATAAATAAAACCATAATTGGCTAATTTGTTAACTTTTGTTTTTTCATCGATTAGAAATTAATGCAGTTACTTTTCTAATTGTTTTACCTTATAAATTAATCCTTCAACATTCTTTTCAATAGCAATGAAAATAAGAATACCAATACTAATAGAAAATTTTTGAACAACTTACCCGCTTGATTAAATATTTAAATTTTCGTGCCGTCTCTGCTTGAGGGGGAATCCGCTTCTACTGTTGTATTTATTTAGCAGAAATATTTGATATATGGCATATATAGTATGTATATATGAACGAGTAGTATAAATATGTATTTGTTATTGCACTTATGTATGTATAATTATATATATGGTTGTGTCGTATACGGAACGGATCGGATCACTTGCTTTGGATTATTCGAATCGTTTTGCACCAGCGACTAACGGATTTTGTTGTTGATTATTTTATTTGTGTTTGTATTTACTCGCATCATTGTTTTGGCCTGAACCTATTGGGCTATTCGGGCTATTGATTAGTTATTGATGAGCAAATGGCGTAAACAACAATTAAAACGTAAAAAACAAAACAAAGGCCGGCAAGAGAGGCATAAATAAAAGCGAAATGGCAATGGCAACAAACACATTCAGCAGATAACGGGAAGCCGACGCCACTACATGTGGCAACAACAAATATAAATACCAACACACACACACACACACACTCGCACACACTCTCATATAGACATAAAACGGCGACTAACAACAAACAACAAATAAAATGGCAAAACGCACGAGCGAACCGGCTGTATGGAGTGGCAAGGAATGGAGCGGGGGGCTGAGAAGGAGGCGTTTGGCGGCCCAACAACTAAATCAAATCGCAGCCAAGTGCCAGACGGCCCAGCTGGCTGCCTGGTGGAACTTCTGCCTGGCTGGCTGGTAGCCTCATCCGCTGCCTGCCTGGCTGCCTGCATGCCTGCCTGTGTGCTTCGACGGGTTCTAGGGCAAATATTTTAAATGCGCAGATTTTTGGCATGTTTTAGTGGCAGTTCACGTTTTGAATTGTTGCCGCGGCGCAGGCGGCTGTCCCCAACGGCCGTTTTACTGACAATTTAATGCAAAAAATGTCAAAAATTTAGACGAGCTCAAAAAAAGTCGATCTACAGCATATACTTGTACGAGTAGTACATACAAGTTTAAGAGCGAGCAAAAAATGTTCACGCTTTTTGGAATGCGTGTCTGTGTGTGTGTGCTTAACCCCTTAAAAGGATTCAGTAAATTGTTGAAAAACACAGGAAGCATTTTAAAACCTTCCCACTCATCTGTTATAACCATTTGTTACTTATTGGATTCAAAACACTTTAATCCCAAAACAACTAAGACATGTTTAAATAACTTTGGAAAATATTTTGACGCAATCAACAGAGGGAATAGGATTCGTCCTTGCAATATTCTCGATAAAAATGTTAGACATGTACATGCTATACAGAATAATTTTTTAACTGAGCTTTAAATGTCTTCATCTCCTATAAAGTGATGATGTTAAAGAGTCTAGCAGAATAGTTTACTTTATAATTAATTATGTATATTGTTGTTAAATTTCTAAGTAAAACATAAATCAGTCGGATTGTTTAGTTAAACGAACAAATATACAAATTTTGTGGACTGGTATTTAACATTTAGGCATTAAAGGAACACCTTAAAAGAAATGAAAACTTTAAAGGAAAACAAGTTTAAAGCCATAAATATTTCCACATCTTTAAAAACATTATCCATCTCTCTCTCATTATTTATCCCCATGTGTATGCTCAAATGTAAGTAAATCTATGCAGTTTTAAGGACATCAACGTCATATGGGTTAACATGGAGCGCCTTTTTTTTTGTTTAGGACGGGAAGGAGATGAAGGCTGGTACGTGCGCGCCTGCATGCGTGTCTGCCAGACTAACTCAATTAGAGACACTCAGACATTGGCAGCACAAGAGTTGAGTTTGTTGGCAGCATAAAAGCTTTTAAGCATAACTTTGTGAGAGGCGAGGGGCGCAAATGAAATTAAACTGAACATTTAACTGGCAGGCAAATTTTGATATTCATCATTTAAGAGGGCGCCAAAAATGGACAGCTTCAACTGTAAACCCAAACAGGGAGCCGGCCAACACAGAGTGGGCTCTGAAGGGCCGTCGGGTTCCCGGTCGCCACGCCAAGCGGCTAACAGAGTCAATAAACAAACAAACATAGCGCAACGCCAAAGCACAAAAAGTATCTAGATACTTTTGCAGTCAACAGCGCCAGCCGCAGCACCAACAACAACAACAACAACAACTGAACAAGTGAAGCTCTCTGCTTGTCGTCTGCTGCTGCTGCTGCTGCCGCTGCTGCGGTTGTTGTTGTTGTTCTTGCTGTTATTGTTGTTGGTGTGCGTGTAGTAAACTCGTCTCGTAAATATACAAAACAAAAACTTGGCGTCTGAGTTGACAACGACGTCGCGTCGTCGCTCTCTTTGTGTGTTGTTTGTCTCTTAGTTGTTGCTGTTGTTGTTGTAGTTGCAGCTGACAGTGTGTTAGTGTGCGGTGTGCGGGTGCGTGTGTGAGTGAGTGAGTGTTTGCTGGCGCTGGATTTTCCGCATTTTCGTGAATGATTTTCTTCACTTTCATCAACAGCTGCGCACACGACACGGCGTCGACGCAAGGGGGAAAGCAGCGTCGACGCTTCGGTCGTTGCCGCTTTGATAAAAAAGTACTTTTTGCTATTTAGATACACACTCATACATTCATACAAAAAACAAATTTACACACACATGGGAAACATTCTGCTTGTCGCTTTACCGTTTTGTTTTTCTTGTTGTTGTTGTTTTTTTTTTCCTATTTGCCGTTGTTGTGCTTTACTTCTTTTTTATTTGATTTTATTGATTTATTTTCGTAGACGCGAGAACTACGCGCTGCGTCGCTGCCGGCTTGTGGCTTGCAAATGCCGCCGAAACTGCAACAAATTGCACTTTTATAGAAACTCGAGCTCGACTGAATGAAACCGAAGCGATTGGTTTGCAGCGTTCTTGTTTTTGTTATTGTTTTTAACGCGCCACACGCTTTGTTATCAGCATTCGCATTCGCACTCACAGTTGTGTTGTTGCACGCTTTTTATTGCCGCTACACATTCTTTCACTCAGCCGCTGCCGCTGTCGCTGCTTCTGCTGCCAACGCTGCGCTGCCGTTTCTTGTTCTTCGTCGTTAAGTTTGCCGCGTTACGTAGTTTTTCCGGTGATTTCCACTTGCTAACTGACATTTCTGGCGAATTTTCCAACCAGCCAGACCATCCGTCGTCATCGTCGACGCTTTGCCGTTTGTTTTGCGTGGGCGCAGAGAGAGAGATCCAAAGAGTGAAAGAAAGAGAGAGAGAGCCAATGTGGAGAGGAATGAAATGGCAAAGCTCATGTTCACGTGCCATTGCCAATTTGTCTCGCTTGCACAATGTTCTATCATTGAACTGAGCTGCCAACTCTGTTAAATTTGAATTTCAAAAATACGCGCCAAGCCGCGCAAAGATATTTATTATAAAATGAAACTATATCTTTGCAAATTACAGGAAGCTAAACTAATTAATATCTAATTGACTACAATTAAATACCATTATTTGTCAGTAGCGTTCAGGAATTGAAACGCGGCAAGCGCATGCGCCGCTCTCCAAAGATAAAGCGTTATAGAATTGCTCAGAAGTACATAAAAACAAAGCGTCCCCACTCAAATGGGGTTGACAATAGAGCAATGTATTGGCCATGTAAATGTATGTGGCAGCAGGCCAAGACCGGCCGGCGCACAGTTGCTCGCACTGGCTACCCAAGGGGACGAATATACATACATATTGTTGACAATGCCTCTGATGATAATCGTCATGATGATAATGACCATGTTATGAGCTAATGTTTGAAATAGGAAGAAAGGCCAATGACGAAACTTGTCTTAGAATTAGCATTTAGGAAATAATGAAGATGAAATGAATGTCGTTGCGACATACTCGTACATACATACTAATAGACGTTTCATTGTTAATTATGATTCTATTTTTCTTGAAAGGGGATTGTGCCTATGAAGAGGCATTAGTTACAGCATCCGCCGCAAGCGTTCACAATTTCTTTTCACATAATAATTTATATTAGTTTCTCCTCTGATTCTATTATTTGTGACTGCATTAATGGAAAGAATATTTATCTATTTTCAATATTATGATGAAAATAAGCAAAATTAAATTGTTTATAACTAGATTTTAGTTTAATTGCAATTTTTATTTTAAACCTAAGTCCAAATGCTTGTTCTTCTTTTTCTGACCAATTTGTATATTTTAGTTGAAGCAAGCATGAGTATCTCCAAAGCTCTACAATATACTATTTGCGGCACTTTTTGGCAAAATTAAGTTCCGTTAGATAAAAATTATGTAAGATACAGATGAAGGGGGGCTTTACTATACACATGTACAGTATATGTTTCTGTTTTAAAAATATATCGTCAGCTATTTCGATACAAATAAAATGTACACACCTTAAATTAGAAGAAGCACGAAAAATAATTGTGCAGGCAAGCATTTGAAACTTTTAATAAATTCATTGCTATACAAAACGAAAAAGTCTAAAAAAGAAACACAGCGAAAATATTATCTTCAATGGATATTATCAGGGAAGAAATTAAAAGCAAGTCAAATTAACAGCTACATTCAGGGTCGTTTGTGTTATAAGTTCCTGCTGCAACTTAAGTGGAAAGTGGAAAATATGTCATTGATATATTTTCTGATAGTTAACAATTTCCGTAATTAACAGCTCACCGACTAAATTGTTGGTATATTGGTATAAAATATGCATTAGTTCAAAGTCCATTGTATTTGGCCTTGAATGAAGTTTTGAGGCACTAAAAGGATCTTAATACGTTGCCATTTGCCGCAGAACAAGCTCTTGGGCTCCGCCTCCATCGAGCAGCCTTGGTCAGAAATCACTCGTCAGGTTTGGGGAAAACGCCTGCTGGCATAATCTATATCTCGGCTATTTATTTTGTTTTCATACAGGCCTTTGAAATATTTACCAGCCCACCTGCAGCGTGCCGAATTTGTTTTCGTTGCAATTAGAGAATTTTTGTTTTGCCTTGTTTTTTGAAAAATGTTAAATGGCCGCCGTCGATTTGGGATAACAAATCCCGACGCCACTTTGACGTGTTCAGTGCACGCAAAAGAATTTCTACCACACGCTATTTTATGGCCAAAACAAAGGTGTGTATGTGCCAGATTTGTTTATTTGGCTACTTGCTGTTGTTGCTGTTGTTCTGACGCGCAAATTATGGCGTGCGTTAACAATTAGTATTAACAAAAAATAAGTGAATACGACACAACGGGGGCGGCACTTAATTTGCCATTTTTATGAGGCGTTCTGAGCGAATCGAAAACAACCCGACAGTTGAGTTTTGATGTGAGGAGCAATAACAACAACAACCACAAGTGCCACTAAATTGAGTTGTCTAAATGAAAACACCAACGCAGCACT